CATAATAATAGTATGGGTATAGAATGACTTTTGTAATTGTTCTTCTAGCCATTGTACTAGCCTTTTGGGAATTGTGAATTAGAGCAGTCTTTCCAATATATCTTTACTGGAAGATAAAATGTTGCTCACAAACACATTGTTGAACAAAGGCTCAAAGTAACTGAAGTGAATTATGATGGAAATAATCAGACTCTGAATTAACTGAAGATCACATCTGTCTAGAAACTGAAGCATGCGCCTCATCCAAACATACTGTAAAAAAAGCAACATATAAAAAAAGAGAGACAAATACATGCTTGGGTGAGAAGTCTTGGAAACTTCACCTTGTTAAGTATGAGGTTTGATAATTGTCCTTTTCTGCCATGGATGTATCTAATAAGGGGAAAAAACTGTTTCTACACAGAATCTCTTTGACCTTGGTTGGGGTATTAACCTGATTTCCTTATCAGTTAGCAATTGTGTTTGGCTTGACTGCTTGCATACCAGCACATACTTTCAACAACTTGAAATGTATGTCTATACAGTCACTAAGTATAACTTTTGTCAAGCATCCAAAACCAGATTACTTCACATATTACCCATTTCTTTTATTATAAAGAATTTCCATTGGTCTTTCAGTGGGGGAAACAGTATTTCTTCTGCATGTACATGAGAGCAGTTAAGCAACCTTTTCCAAATATTGTATGCTTGCTCTGTTACTTATTATATTGCATTACTGGGACAAGGGGCATTCTTAAAGAGCCTCCTTATTATCTCTTAGCACTTTTTATTGCAGTGAGATCAAGTTACAACTGGTTTAGTGACATGTAAATCCTAGTAGGCATGATTCCTAAATCTATGACAAGTCTTGGATCACTGTGATGCTATATTTCAGCTTCACTAGTAGCAATGATCATTACAAAATAAACAATTGCCCAGAACAAACAGTCAGTGAGTTTGCTTTTCAGATGTAACAAGATAAAAAATACCTTAATATAAAGGAATACAACATCTGTTTTAAATTTAAATAAGGGTAGACTGCATCAAGCTAAAGGACATAGAATTTAGTACAATATAAAATGACAGTTTATTATTTTCCTTTTATTCACAAGTGACAGTTAATGGACATCTCACTCAGAAGAAAAAAAAAACCAGTATCTAAAATTAACCAGCATTGTGGTTGGAAAGCCATTAACCCTTAATTAGAACTAGTAAATGTGTAACCTTGTAAGGCATTGTGAAGTTTATTTTAATGCCTGAAAATGTTTTTCTCCTTACCACCTGCATCTAACAAAGTCTGAAATCAGAAGTAAAATCAAAAGAATTCATATACAGTTTAAGAATTCATATGACTCTTTCTTGGTGATTAACTCTACAAATTTGTGGGCTATCCGGACTGTAAACTCAAGAGATTAAAAGGGTGAGAAGTTTCATTGCACCTCATACCATCTGTTCCACGGCATACGGAGTAGAAAGCTCTGCTGGGATGGTGTTCACTCACCCAGAGCAGTGGCAAAATGGAGACAGAAGCTGACTCTTTCAGTTATGATCTCCCTGCCAGGCTGCCTCATCTTACTCTCATCTGATCACAAATTGTTTAACTAGCAAAGGGCTAGTTTGTCAATCTAATTGCAACTTTGCAGAATCAGTAGGGAAAAGGTGCGGTTTATTCCTGGCCTCAAGATATGTTCTCCTAAAATGATAGCTTGTACAAGAATGTCTCAATCAATGTTCTAATTTGGCCTCCAGCTATCTACCTCTTTGTTTTTGGCTTTCCAGCACATTAAAATACCTAATACTTTCTGCAGATTGTAATGTCTTCAAGTCAGTTTGAGATGCCAGTCTGCTGGGCTCAAAGATTTGTTAGGATGACTTTAAAGTAGAAGGAAGAGGAAGGAAACAAAAAATTAACAGTGAATATTTCCACCAGTGAAATGATTAAGTGGAAAAGAGAAAGGAGGAAATAAATGGATATGCATAAATTAAGACCTGATTTTCAAAGACACTGAACTCTGCACCTCTTTTGAGTTTAGATGGAGTTGAGGGTATTCAGGACTTCTTTAAATCAAGCCCTAAGAGTCTACGTTTCATTGCTATGAGCATGGGAAATAAGACAGACTAGCTCAAAATGATACTGTATGAAGAGAAGTGTAACCTAATTGTAACCTTGATCGGTATAACATGTGGAGATGAGAGAAATATGAAGAGGAACAGGAGACAGAATACTGGCACTCTGTGTCAAAAGTACTTACAGCATTAGTGGGAATTCCACATTCTTGCTTGTAGAATAGTGATAGAAATGTAGCTGTGTTAGTCTGGGGTAGCTGAAGCAAAATGCAGGACAATGTAGCACTTTAAAGACTAACAAGATGGTTTATTAGATGATGAGCTTTCGTGGGCCAGACCCAGTGGGCCCAGTGAGCTTTCTGGCCCACGAAAGCTCATCATCTAATAAACCATCTTGTTAGTCTTTAAAGTGCTACATTGTCCTACATTCTTGCTGTATTTCTCCTAGGAAAGCCCTTAGAATTCCTCTGCTTCTGTTGCTACCCTTTGTGCTCTCTCACCCAGTGCTGTATATTGGTTACAATAAAATGGACACCATTCTTGTCAGTTTCACTGAGCTGTCTCTTCTGGGGAGGCAGCACTAAAGAGGTACAATCTTCCACTTCCTGGATTCAGATTTGTTGCAACTTGCTACTGTTCTTGATGCAATTTTATGTGCTAACTTGGCATATAGGAATAAGTGATGTTCCAAACTAGCTGGCCCACAGAGATGATCAGATCTATTGCTATGGTTAATAGTTGATTATCCTATCAGGGATGAAGATGGTGCTTGGTCCTGCCATGAAGGTGGGGGACTGGACTTGATGACCTCTTGAGGTCCCTTCCAGTGCTATGAGTCTATGATTCCTCAGTTAAAGCTGCAGAGATGTGTGACTTAGAACCTAAAGAGCCAAAATATTAGTTGTCTGTTGCTTGCAGCCCATGGCTTTGTCACAACAATGCTATCCACCACTAATCTCCCAGATTAGGGATGTAATAGTATACTCAATTAACCAATTAACCAATAAGCAAAAGCTTATAGGTTAATGCCATAGACTACACTAGATGCATTTCCCTCCCCACATCTTGCTAGTACATTTTTTAGCAGGCTGGCCATTCTGGCTTCTGATGGGTCTAGGAGCTCAGAACCCTTGCTAGTACATTTTTTAGCAGGCTGGCCATCCTGGTTTGTGATGGGTCTAGGAGCTCAGAACCAACCCTATACAAAGGCTACTGCCACCCTGCGCTGCTGCTTCTTTATCAGAGGCAGCAGCACAGGGAAACAGGCAAGGGGAGCTGGTTTTTAAACTTCAGCAGAGAAGTAGGGGGCTCCTTGGGAGCGAGGCCGGAGCACAATGGCTGCCGGCCTTGCCCCAGGAACTATAGAATAGTTGACTAACCAATAAGAATTCTTGAGGTTACTCGACTATTCAGTTAACCAATATTTAACATCCCTATCCCAGATATGAAATCCTCAGTGGAACTTTAAATTGAAAAATCATTACCCTCCTACTTTGATATTTTTGCATTGAGCCTAAACCCCATTTTGTTCTTGACACTGTGACTTGTCCGCAGACTGATTTTTGTAACTAGAAGGAAGTACTGCAAATGGTAGGTAAAGTCATTAGTTAATGTTAGATATTTGTTTTTGGAGAGTGAGGTTTTGCTAGACCATTACAGTTTTCATTATGTTCAGGGCAACAGGATTAATTTCTGCCTACAATAATTGAAAACACCCTTTTTGTTATTTTCTGGAAACAAACTGATGATTATTCCAGTTTGAGATTTGTTACAGAAGATTTACCTTAGAAATCCAGAATGAAATTCTGCTATTTTTAATGGCATAGGTTCCAAAGTGTGCTAGTTGTATTTTGTCTGTAAGACAAGGTTCCTGCCCTGAGAAGTTTACAATACAAACAGAACAGGACTGAGAAAAGTGATCAGTTCCAATCATAGTGCATTTTCCTGAAAATGCTGTTCAACACAAGTGACATCATACATACCCATTAAAATAGTGTTAATGAATAATTCTCTTCTTTATCCAAGCAAATAAGTGTAACCTGCAGGGAAAGCTACAGTGTTTCCTAGACTTTTAAACATACTTTAAATAATAGCTCACTTTTGAAATACACCAACTGTACTGTGCTTTATGAACTTCTGGGTACATATTTGTAACTGTTTTTTGTAGAGGCCCTTGTATCAACATTGAGAAACTTAGCAGTTAGGGCTTGATTTTTTGATGCACTAAAAACCCTCATTTGCCAGCAAATTCAACAGAATTGAGAATAGCTATTTTCTGCAGGCTATCAGTGCCTCAAGGGATGTGCCCTAAACAGTCTCACCCATTCCCCAAAGCTAATACTGTTTTTGCATGAAAAATGTTAAAAATGTTAAGAGATAGGTAAGTTAGCCCCATCAGCAACGGAGTTAAGTGACTTTCTTTTGAATACTATGGTTCCAGTTAAACTGGTTTCTAACAAACTGAATGACTCTGCTGTTGCCATATTGAAGAACTGGCAAAAATCGCTGTACCAGCTTTAAAATGTTTTTTGTAATACTTTTTTTGTGCCCCAGCTTTGCTGTATGAGGTAAGTTGCTAAAGACATTTCCTCACTTCAGCAGATGAATGCTAACCCCTGTCTTTACTGCTTGGGAAACATGGGACCTGAAATATCTTTTAAAAGGCAGTGTAAGATACAAGCCTACTGGGCTGTCCCTCTAGCCAGTGTTCCTTGTCAGCTGTGCTCTTGGGCATCCAGGAGAGGTTCAAATGCCACCTAAGCGATACCAGAGCACCCACATCTGGCAGCATGTGTTTTTACTGGCAGTACATGTCTGCACATGCCTTTGTCCACATCATAACATTTATTCTGCAGATGGATGGAAAAATTAAATTTTAGAAGCAACATTGCCTGCTGCAGTCCCCTCCCCCATGAGAGAGCCCACTATAGCCGGCTTTAGGCAGCTGCACTCACCAGGGGGCCTTCTAATTGTTGCAGACTGAGCATGGTCACTTGTGGGGGCCTTAGTAGCTGACCTGTTCAGTATCTCTAGTGCTTCCTCAGCCCAGACACAGCAGTGAATACCTATGTCGGCTCAACGGGCCCCAGTCATCTGCTGGGACTTGTCCTCTCCGCTGGAAACCACCCCCGGGCAGCGAAGATAAGACGTGGGCTGCCACCATCCTCCATTTTATGCCAACTGGAAGTGAGCGACCTTGACTACGAAGCGCCAGGAGAGTCAGTCACGCGGCAGGGCTGCATCCTAGGGCGGCGCGGGTGCGCTGCTGCCGCAGCATTTCCCTCATGGTGGGTCTTTGCCCCTCGGGTGACCCTGACCCGAGCTGACCTTAGTCCTGCGCCCCAGGCAGGGCGAGGGAGCCTGGAGAAGAACGGGTGGGAGGGGGCTAACGGCAGACCGGGCGGAGGGAGGTCAGCGTCCCCCCCCC